AGTCATTCAATGTCCTTTTTGTAGTGAGGGGCCCAAAACTGAACACAGGAATCGAGGTGCGGCCTCACCAGTGCCGAGTACAGGGGTCAGATCCCTTCCCTGTCCCTGCTGGCCACGCTATTGCTGACACAAGCCAGGATGCCATTGGCCTTCTTGGCCACCTGGGCACACTGCTGGCTCCTGTTCAGCCGGCTGTCAATCACCCCCCAGGTCCCTCTCTGACTGGCAGCTCTCCAGCCGTAGGTTCTCCAGGATATACACTCAGAGGTGGACAGAGAAAGAGGGAGCTAGCTCCCTACAGGTGTCTCCCAGGAAACAGTTTTCAGAGTAACAGTCCTGCAGCATGACAGTATCACAGTAGTGGTGTCTACTAGATGGACTGCTCCGCTAATTTATCTCATTGAGCCAGCTGTGTCTCAAAGAACAGGCTCATAGTTTGCAATTCTTCTCAAAGGTATTTTGGATCATCTGACACTTGAAACTCAAGAGGTACATCTGGTAACAGCAACTCCAGCATCACACCGAACAATTTTATCCAGCATGAAACACAAATAGGGACTGAGGTAGTCATAGAAATGGAAACACATGGAAGAAACTGGGAAACAGGCAGGTTAGAGAGAAGAAATAGAAGCACAGAAGAAGGAAATTTAGACCAGACATCATAGAAGACAAAAAGAGACAAGGTTTGAACCAGCCAAGATCCCAATTTGCAATTCTCTGAGGATTTTACAGGTATCAATCTCTCTATTCTCTGTCTGAATGATCGATTGGAAAGAGGTAAGAATCACCCAGTGGGAATCTGGAAGCAAGGGGGAAAGCAAAACTTAAATGTGACTAAAAGCTTGGGGCTCATGCCACAAAGGCTTAGGTCTCAATCTCCTTTTACAAGCCTGGACTTAATTTGTAATGGTAAATTCTGTGTTAGTTCAAGTGCTCTGCTGCTGGCACATTTGACAGCAAAAGGAAAATCCAGTGCATGTTTGTTTGGATTTAAGAGAGTACTCTTAGTAGATATCTCCATTTTTATGGAAAGAAAAAACTCATAGCTTTTTGAGATTTACTCTGTGAACTTCAAACTAAAAAGGGCTAAAACATGTCTCTGTGTGCATTTGAATATCTATTCATGACTACACATTCACACAGATATTTACATATACATGTATGCATAATAATGCAATAATGCATGTAAAAAGAAGCTTGTAGATATACAAATGCACATCCTTAGAGGCATATGAGTTCTGACCAATAAGCACACCTACCCATGGACTTTTTATCTCTCCTCCTCTCCTCTCCTCTCCTCGGACAACCAGCCCTAAGGGGCTGTGGGCAGAGCCCTGACCCAGGCAAGATGGCAAACAGGTGGTTAGGGGGAAGAACTTACCTGTGTGCTTACTTCAATATTGATTTTTCTTAGGTAAACAAAACATCTCAATATCCTTGTAATATAATTCCCATTAACTGGTGAGACTATAGAAATAAGAGTAGTGGATTGAATACATTTCATGAGGAGTTAGTGTGAAAAAAGAAAAGCTTTAAGTGAACATTTTGAACTACGATTTCCTACTCTAAGCAGTTGCTCTACAGCCCTCTCACACTACTTTGCATCACAGAAGTTCTATATATTTACCTTTCTGATTTTGCCTCATTTCTACCTCTCTGTTTCATGCATGTGCTGTGTGAAAGCACTTGGCAGAACAATAAGTACTCCAGTGGACATCAGCGTGTCCATACTCCCTTTGAGAGGCTGAGTCTGGCATACAGTCATCACACAACTGGCAGGGTTTTAAATAGCGAGGGGGACAACAAAACCAGGTGGACTTCACTGGAGAGAAAGTAATGATTCATCTGTTCCTTTCCTACCATACCAGAGACAGTGTTCAGAGCAGCTCTAGGAACTTTCCACGCTGAGCTTTTTCTTCTCCAAGCGCTCACAGATTGCTCAGTGGTGACCATATGGTTAAACCCTCCCCAAAATTCACCTCTAAGCTGGAGCTCCCATGGGAGGTAAAACCTCCATCAGAAGCAGAAAACATCTGCCAGAACCAGGCATTACAACCGTTTGGCACCATCAAAGATGGAGTTCATTTTCTTTATAGCAGCCTGTATAGTGCTGTGGTTTAGCCTGGTGACAAAACCAGCTTTGATAACACACCAACATTTTAGCTATTGCTGAACAATGCTTGCACAGTGTCAAGGCCCTCTCTGTTTCTGACTTTGCCCCCAAGTGAGTAGGCTGCGGGTGGGCAAGATGCTGAGAGGGAACACAGCTGGGACAACTGACCCGAACTGACCACAGGGGTCTTTCTGATGCTCAACACTAAAACTGGGGAGTGAGTGTGTGTGTTTCTGAAGTTGTTGCTTGTGGACTGGCCAGTCATCAGTCTGCTGGCAGTGCGTGATTGCCTCTGAATCATTTGGGTATCTTTTTTTTTTTTTCCCCTTCACTTTTTAAACTATCTTTATCTTGATGCATGAGTTTTCTTGCTTTTGCCTTTCTGATTCTCTCCCCCATCCCATGGGGTGGGGAGAGGGGAGGGCAAACAGCCGTGTGGTGGTTAGCTGCCTGCCAGGGTTAACCCACCTTACCATCTCATGTCCACAGGCAGGCTAGAAATCTGCCCTACTTGGGTATCCACAGGTAAGCTGCTGAAAAGATCTTGTAAGAAATCTTCAGAAGACTCCAGAGATAGGGGGCTGGTCTGCCAGGATCTCGTAATTCAGGCCTTGTGTTACTATATAAACATCACAGCATGGAGTGGGACTGTGAGACAGTAACCTGTCTGTTTAAGCAACAGTAAGTGCTTTATGATATTCCTCATAGCAGAGGCAGGACAATCTTCAGGGGATCATCTATCAGTAGTCTTGATAGCTTTGAACTTGAACAGTCATGGCATGTGGTGCAGGTCCAGGGAACACCTGGTACAGCTGTGAGATAACCCTTCAACTGAAGAGATTCAGAGAATGCAGCTGAAAAGGTGGGTCCCTGCTACCTTTTCCCACGTTGAAGCCGTGTTGCTTAGGCCAGTCAGCAGTACAAGGAGGAGCCACACCTGCCACAGTGATGGATATGGATTCACTGCATCTGAGTAAATGTTAAGAGAAGTGAGGTATTAAAAGGTGGATATGGGGCTAAGCAGTGTTTGTGAGCAGCAGATGGCAGAAGTGGAAAACAAATGAGATGGAAACCAAGATGTAGCAGGGAACTGTGAGGGTGGAAGGACAGACCTTATATCCAAAAATCCAGCTGAGCTGTCACAGTTCACTCAGATGAGTACACCCATTGAGGTCAACATAGCTCATCTGATAAAACTATGGAAGCAGCCTGAAAATCGTCTTCAACTACTCAAATAGTCTTGGCCCTGGTGCTATTGATTAGACATTTGCTGATCAGGATGCTGCTATGGAAAGACCTCACTATGGGCTAGACCAATAATCCAGATGGTAAATGGAAGCAGCGGGAGTCACGATTTTCCTGTCGTAGAGAAGTCATGCATGATGCTGACAGGGAAGCCCTGACAGATCTCACTACCACAATTAACACAGACTGCAGATTTGGAGGATAACACAGTTACTGCATTTCTTGTAAGACAGGCAGGGCTGAAGGATGGGGAACATATCCATTTGCACCTCCTTTGCCACAGCCTACTGCCCATTCCGCAATCCACTGTCATCAGAGACACTGAAACTGAGACACTCTGCCTCCCACCACCATGGCTAAGCTTCAGGGCTGAACAGAGACTTCATCCGGCAGGAAAACTGCTCTTGGTTTAACCAGATCCATGGTAGCAATGGATGCAGTGCAAACAAGGCAATGCCAGTGCAAAGCACCGTGGCTCTGCATCACATCTCTGGTGCCACAGAGTAGGAAGCAGAGCTGAGCCAGGGTCTCAAAGCTACTTTGGGGAGATAAAACTCTGGCTGCTCCCTGGGGCTGTTCAGAGCTCTGGGATGCCAGCAAGTGACCATCCACCTCAGGTAGGGTGACACGAACAGAGCATGCTGGCACAGGAGCCCTGATCTGCTGAAGGAAAAGTCCAAGAAAAAACAGTGACGGAGATCCAAGCCCTTCAATGCCTGAGAGATCTGAGCCTCAGCAGGGATGCTGCAGGGACATAACAGTCTTGGGCCAGAGGTGGAGGAGATGTGAACAGACCACATAGCCAGAACTGAGTGTTGGAGGAGATCTTCTGCCACATATCATCCATAACCTCTAAAGGACTGAGTTTAAGCACAAATTTCGTCCACGAGAGACTAAAATATCGCATGCCTCAAGCAGGGAAGAGAAAGGCCACAGTACGTGAAGGACTAGCAGTGACCATAGAGGTACTACTTGGGACTGGATTGAGGCCCTTCTGTTTCTCTGTACATGAGAACTACAAGACATCCAAGTACATAACATCACCCCTCAGCGCCCAGATCCTTTTCCCAGCCCCATACGCATGTGCCACATTGTTAATGGCAGCACTTCAGCCAGCTATGGCAGTAACAATTCTCCTGTTGCATGACTTGGCTTTTGTCTCTGCCAGTTCAAGAAAGGTGGCTTCTGATTTCTAAGTTACTACTGAGAAATACTCAGCTGCATCATTGCTATTTGGCCTATCAGGTCTCATTCAGTATGTTTATTTTTACTATTATATTAGATACAGCATTCTGTATTTCATTTCCTTTTTCTCCCCTCCACACACCCCGGGAAGAACTGAGCTGAATGTGAGGTCTCTTCTTGCTTACTCTTTGACCACAGATTGATTTGCTAGGCAAATGTGACGCAGAATGAACGGCTTAGAACATAAATTTCATCATAGTGTTATAAATAAGCAGAATCTAGACAACTGACCAGGTGTCCAGAGCCACTGTTATCTGTGATGAAGTCACAGCAGCTCTTGCCAGACACTGCCAGGGCACAGCAAGGGCCAGCTGCTCCCTAAGGGATGAGTAGAGTCAAGCAAGATAAAGCAGACAGCAAGGAAGGAGTCTTGCTTGCCAGGGCCTATCTCAGTGTACCCAGAAAAGGAGAGCAGGGCAGGCCCAGGGCTAGCAGCCAGGATCAACCAAGAGTCCAGATTTTCAGGTGGGTTCATGCTGATGAGGCAGGTTGTAGGTCCTATGCCAAGCTGGGTAGCCAATCCGCAGGTCAGGATCAGGTCCTGTGATGGCAGCCAAGGTCACATACAGACACACTGATCACCAGGCTGGTCCACAGAGACGAGACAGGTCTGGGGCCATCTCAGAAAATCCGTTAACAGGTCAGGAAACAGATCGACAGGATTCATGCCTGGCCATGGGCATGGACGTAGGCATGGGTGTGAGAGATGGAGACAAGCACAGCTACGCCATAGCTCAGTCTGGGACTAATAGCACAGGCCTGAGCTTAAATGGAGCTCCTGGGCTATCTATGGCCAGTGTGTCAGTGGAAACTCCAGGTGAACGTGGTCAAGGCAACTAAGTTTTTTTTTTTTACTGCTCTCAGAGCCTTGAGAGATACAGACCATAAGAATTTCCTTCAGTTTTCATTGTGAAAACAATTTGGAGATCTCGCTTGCTTGTGACATAGGAACGTCACAGCCTTGCTTTGGCCAAGAGCTGGTTACAAGGCAAACAGGGGCTCAGTGTGGTAAGCCACGGCCAACACGACAGTGTAAAGAATGAAGCATAATGAGCCTAGGCATGGATGGTGGATCAACAGGTGTCAGAACCATCCCCAGAGCTGCTGGGAAGGTACACTATAATATCATTTGATTGGCAGCCTGTGCCAACAACTAGCTACAAAGACCTTCAGCAGTAGAGAATGAGGGAGAACACTTGGTTTGCTTCATAAATTGAGCTTAGCGGTTTCACATTGTCCATGTTTCTCTTCCTCTCAAAAACTTGTGTGATCAGTTTTCTCGGCCTCTTTAAGATCAGCTTGAAAGCATCAGCTCCTGAACTGTTAAGATGTAAAGACCCATATCTAAACAAGAGGACACATCTACCAAAGTGGACATTACTTAATTAGGAGTGCTGCCATTTTGTGAGTTACTGGTTGTCATCTCTTATCCACAAGCCAGATTCTCTTTAAGCTAGACTGGCCCAAAACTCTGAGCAATTCTACTGTGTTAAAACATTAGCAATACATATGAGAGAAGAATCAGTCCGAGTCATAGCTTTAGAGTTTAATGACTAAAATGTGTATAAATCAATGAATATTTATCCTAGTCTTGCAAAAATAATCTAGAGTCAAGAATAGGGGATGGAGAGAGGTTCTATTCCCAAGCAGTTGGTATCAACAGCTGGGCTTGTACCTTTGTGCAGTACAGGACAGAGGAGCAAACAACTCACCTTGACTACTGCAAAGGATACAGCTGCATTCCTACAGTTCTTTGTGCAGCCTAACGTGCCTTGTTTTTCAAGGAGTTTCCAGTGAATACATCTAGTGGTCCAGTCCCAGGACAGATTTGCGGATAAAAATACTTTCTTACTTCTTTTAGCCAGCTGAGTGGAGCTGCTGAAATGCAATGACCATGGGTACCGCAATTATCATTCCACAGTCACACCATTTGGTTGGATGGAGGATTTGCTTCTGTTCAATGAAGCATCTGTGGATTTTTTAAGTTGCTCTTTTAAGATCAAGTGCTGCTGTCAGATACATGCTTTAGCTCCCACTGAGCCAGTGGAAAATTCTCTAGGCTAGTGCAGTCTTTCAAATGCAGACAAGTGTTTCGGTGATTAATGTTGAGGCATTAGTATAGCAAGAATGGCACTTATTGTGATTAGCTGATCAATTTAAAGCAGAGACAAGTACTTATTTACATGGCAAGCTGTGAACTTCTGGAATCTGCTGCCCTAGTAAACTGTGGACACAAATGGCAAGAGAGGGTCAAAAGAGATCTGAGAAATTCATAGTAACAAGTCCAAAAACAGACACTAAAGAGAAGATGCAGTGTTCCCAACCACAGCCATTGTGGGTATTGAGGTAGTGTGACTTGATCATAATGAACCACAGATAGCAGCCAGGCTTGTCTGCTCTCACTAAAAAGCGTCTCCTCCTGCCGCTACTAGATACGGTGCCTGGACTGTGCTCTCTGCCCTGATGGGGCATTTTCTGTGGTTTTTAGGTTCACTTTCGTTCCTCTTGCAGCATGAGGTAGGAGACAAGGCTAGCTGGGAGGACAGCAAGTCCCTAGAGATGTTCCTTTTGGCACCCTGACCTTCTCTTGACAGAGATTAATTTTTCAAGAGTCTAGGAAATGGCCTGTTTTCATCAAAATGCCTCAGTTGAAGCAAGTTACAGCAAATTAATCAGTCCTCTTTAAGTACCCTTTTCCCATCAGCCTGTGCACCACTGGGCCACATCAGAGGAAGAACAACATTAGCAGTGTATTGGGCCTGGGGGGCACTGTTCCCCATTCTGGCTGCTACCTGACTTCATTTCCACATACAGAAGTTTCTCATCGGGGATATTTAGCACTGTCCAGTATACTCAGGACTCCCAGTGACAAGCTGTCTGTCCAAGATATTGGTAGCTTTTAGATACTGGGGAATGTTAACAACATTTTATGATCGTTATCTTCTACATACAAACAGTAAGGCAACTGGCCATCTTCTCAGGTGAAATTTCTTAGTAGAGGATCAGAGATCATATCAGTTTGTTACTTGATGAGGTTAGTCACCTCACAAATAGGGATGTAGACAAAACAGAGATATTTAATATCTTCTTCATCTCTGTCTTTAACACCAATGATGGACCCTGGGACCCCTGGAGCCCTGTGTTAGAAGACCATGACTGGGGGATGTTAAACTCCCAGACAACCCTGAACTTGTTCAGGACTCTAGCTGCTCCGTCTGGATAAATCTATGGAGCCTGATGGGATTTGCTCTAGAACACAGAAAGAGCTGGCTGATGTTATCGTGGGACCTCTCTCCATTATTTTTCAATGGTCTTGGGAGTCTGGAGAGGTCCCAGTTGACTGAAATCTGGCAAATGTTGTCCCAGTTTTCAAGAAAAGTGAAAAGGAAGACCCTGGTATTTACAGAGCTGTCAGTCTCACTTTAATGCCTGGTAAAACTATAGAGAAGGTTATTCTAAGAGTTATTGAAAACCACAGTCATTGGTCATAGCCAGCACGGGTTCATGAGGGGAAAGACCTGCTTAACCAACTTGATTTCATTTTATGACAAGATCACTCATCAAGTTGACCAAGGGAAAGCAGCAGATGTGGTGGGTTTGGATTTTAGCAAAGCTTTTGATACTGTCTCTCACAGTGTCCTGGTTACACTGCCCAGCACACACCTAGACAAGTCCAGTAGACACTGGGTGAGCAATGGGCTGATGGGTTGGGCTCAAAGAGTTACAGTACATGGGGTTACATCAGGCTGGTGGCCAGTCACCAGTGGGGTTCCCCAGGGAACGCTGCTCTTTAATGTTGTTAGAAATGATCTGGACACAAGAATCAAAGGTACATTAAGTTTGCCAGTGATACTAAACTGGGAGGAGCTGTGGACTCCTTCAAGGGTAGAGAGGCCTTGCAGAGAGATCTGGATAGACAAGAGAGCTGGGCAGTCACCGATGGTATGAAATTTAACAAGAGCAAGTGCCAGATTCTGCACCTGGGATGGGGTAATCCTGGTGCTGATCTCCGCTCTCTGGTGACCAGCAGTAGGACAGAAGTGTTATGGAAATTATGTATGTCACCATAACAGGGTTCGATTTCAGGTAAATCTGAACGGGTAAGCCAAAAGATCGATTCGTCTATAAAAGTATTTTTTATTAGTAGCACTACAGCTTGAGCTTGATGTCTCTGAAGAGGGACCTAGAAGAAAGAAATCCCTTACAATCTAAATTCCCCACCCCTCATGTGACAGTTTGGTCCAGTAGTAATATTAGGGTCTGGGGGCTTCCAGTTCTTCACTGGGTCCCTTCATTGTCTCTAGGCAAGCCATTTCTTATCTCTAAGGTTGCAGGTTCTGTTAATGAATGTAGCTTCCTTATCTTCTGCCTTGAACTGGCTCTGGGGCCTTCTTTTACTTGTCTAGTTAAAAGTTCAACATGTCTCGGTGAAAGTTCACAGCTTGTGCCCTAACGCTTCAGCAAATTTGACTACTACTGTTAATCAAGATATGCTAAATGAGTTCTATATAAGTAAGTAGGATACCAAATACCACAACAGGAGGAAATGGAATGAAGCTGCATCAAGGAAAGTTCAACTCAGACATTAAGAAAAGGTTCCTCACTGAGAGGGTGACTGTCACTGGAACAGGCTCCCCAGGGAAGTGGCCATGGCACCAAGCCTGTCAGAGTTCAAGAAGCATCTGGAAAATGCTTTTAGTCATATGGTTCAGTTTTAAGTAGTCCTGCAAGGAGCAGGGAGTTGGACTCGATGATCCTTATGGGTTCCTTCCAACGTGAGATATTCTATACTTCCATGATTCTTTATATCCTGAAATGAAAATAAAAATATGACATTTAGATCTTTTAACAATTGCACTTCGGGCTTGCTGTGATTTGAAATGAACATAGCAGGAGAAGTCTATTACTTGTAATAGCCTAGAATATTTATTTTCCACAGATGCCATATGAAAAGGATTTCCCAGATGTTCGATGACCTACTTAGCCATAGATTTCTTTCACTCCATTTCACTAAAAATAGCATTTGTCAGAAAACTCTTAATACACTGAAATCAAAATGCTGCTGAAGTTATATTAGTGTTGCTAGGGGTTTTTTTTGTACACAGTCCTTCCACGCCAAGGATGTGGACCTACTCATTCAAATAGAGTCTCTTGTCTCCAGGGGCACAAACTTTCAGCACCACTGGTGAACACATTCTCTCTTCTCTCTCCTGCCTTTCAGGAGGTCTGGCACAAAACAAAAACAAAGGTTGGATTTTCCCAGGGGACAGATACTCTCTTTTGAACAGCCTTTCTCACTTTGCAGAAACTGTCCCCTTCAGACCAGCCGGGGAAGCTGCTGAATCAAATCTGGAAGGGACTTTAGGGAAGTATATAGGAGCCCAGTGACTGGGAGGGCATGTCGGACCACTGCAGGTATTGACAGAAAGCAGCTGAGTAGCATCACTTGGTGAACAGAAACCCATGCTCAGATCCAGAATAGAAAGGAATCTGGTGGAGGGTTTCTGGGATGGAACTGGAATTTCAGCTGATAATCAAGGGTTTTCCCACTCAAAGGAGAAAAGCTGCACTCAGTCTTTGCTTCATAATATGTTGGAAGAAAATCCACAGTGCTTCTCTCCCAGTGGGACAGGATATTTCCTATGATTTTACTGTATTACTTTTTCCAAAAGCATGCTGCAGCACTCTTTAAAATCCAGATAGATATGAACAGCTTCTTTCCTGCTCTTTACAGCTCAGTGAACCCAGATTGCAAAGCATTTAGTGTGGTTCCCCCTGTTCCTCAGAGTCTACTAACCTCAAGATGTTCTTGAACTTCGAACAAATCCTAGTAATCTGTGACTGAAAGTCCATAGTCCAGGAACCATCATCAGCATCTCCTTGGATAAAGGTTTTCCAACAGTAATTGTAGTCTGGAGAAATGGAAGTAAAATGAGTAATCTGAGTTTATTCAGATACCAGACAAGATCAGGGAACAAGACTTTTTAACATCTTCTTTGTGCCCATGACACAGAGACAGCTTTGCTGTGGACAGGCCAGCTGACGGATGTTGTTCACTCCATTTTTTGAATCAATACCATTCTCTCTGGGCATTTTTTTTCCCTCTCTATCAGCAGAGGGCTCCTTCAGTCTGCCTTATCCTAGCAGCTGCATTTAGTCCCCTAGGACTAGGGAGAAGCACCCTATCTCCCATTCCCTCAGGAGCAGCAGAAAGAGTCTCTAAACAAGGGAGAATTTTCATACAGTTCTGGTTGCTAAGAGTCCTGTCCCCCTTCTCCTGCAATATCTGAACACCAGTTTTTGGATGTGACAGTCACTGAATGGTGATGGATGTGCCCCCAGAGAAGCTGGGCAAGACACTGGGCAGAGAAGCCAGCCCATACCACATTCACCCATGCATAAAGTTCACCAGTTCACCCTTTCCCACTCCCACAAAGCATGGGAAAACTTGCCTTCAATTTTCATGACAGCAACAGTTACTCCCGCCAAGGTCATAAGTTTCTTCAGACCTTGCCAGTTTCTCTCATCTTCCATGTAATAAAGCCGTGCTACATATATCTCTATGTTCACATTTGAGTGCTTCTGTAAGAAATACAGTATTTTACGGCAGCAGTTCACACAGGGGCTCCAGGACAAGTACCAGGTGATGGAACAGGTGACATCATAATTATTGTATCCTTTCATCTTAAAGATCTTCTCCAGGAAGTAGACTTCAGCATGGTAACGGTCATTTCTGACCCAGTGTGTCCACGGCGTGCCGGTCTTACCCCACTGCAGTCTGCATAGTAGGTATGTGTCATGTGGAGCCTTACGGGGGTCAAAATGATACTTTAACACCTTCTTAGATATATACATGCTGAAACAGAAGAGAGAGTTCAAGGAATCCCTGGTTACAGCTTTGTTTTCAGTAGTTCTCCAGTACGCAAAAAAGGCAGAGGTTGGAGGAAATGCGAGAAGAACTGAGAAGGGCAAAACATGAGAGCAATGCAGGGAAAATGGAGAGGTAGGCACCACGGCAGGACAAAGGAACCAATCCTGAGCCACCTAATCCTCCTTTTGTCTGCAACTGCATGCAGAGCTTTCACCTCCTCATCCCTCCCTATGGCCAGCCTCTTCCTCACCAGTGTATTTCTAAAAGCATTCTATATCTTTTCATGTGTCAAACATTTTCCCAGGGCTCCTATGTAGCCCTTTTCAATGTAAGGAGCCATTGCAAATTTTGTAAAAACTAAAAAAAAAATAAAAGAAAGAAAATAAAAACCACTGATAAATTAGGAAGCTGGGTATATGTCTTTATTGGATTCTCTTGCTGTTTGTATTTTCATAAGGATTAGCACAGTCAGCACAATCCCACATGAGGGAAGGAAAAAGAAGTGCTCTATACAGAAAGATGCAGCTCCCAAGAACCACATTTTCTGACAGATAGGCCATCTCTTAGATCCAGATTCTATTCAGAACAGACTGCTAAATGTTGTCAGTGAGGTAACCCTACAAAGACTGACAGTGTTGGTTGTGAAAGTATCCTTTAAATCAGTAATTATCCGTGATATATAAATAATATATGAAGTCACCATGGGTGCTTTGTAGCCTTTGTACAATTGCTTTATAGAGAGATTTATGAGAGAATGCACTTCGGATATATATTTTTCCACATTAGAGTAATTCAGAATATATCTAGTAGACAACTGGACAGACTCCTAACAGAGGAGCAATAAGCCTGCAGATTGTTTTATAGATTAGCACACACAAGTTACAAAAAACCCTCAACACTATCTGAACTAAGAACAAATGAAATCTTGCACATCAAGCAACTGTCACATATTCTCTAGCTGCAGGACTCATCGCCTATGTAAAAGAGCATCTCATTCATCTGAGTCAGTCAGAAGTCTTTGTCTTCTTACCCTGACTCCTTTCTCATCCCAGCCTCCCACACATTAAAATACATATGTAGATAAATCAGTTTATAAACCACAGGGTGTTTATGTTCTCCATGTAAACTCTGTGTATATAAACCACAGAAACTATGCATGCAAGATTTCTTTATCAGAATTCATATTGAATTTATGTAAATGTAGCAAAAGTAAATGTCACCAAATGTTTAATTCTGATACAGGAATAACTTTTTTTTTTTTTTAATTATACTTAATTCCTTTAGTATATCTTTAAAAAAAAAACCTACAGAGAGAGATTCAAAAGTGAAGAACAGGCTTAAATTTTTTTCTCATTTGAGGTAGTAAAAGAGATGCAACTTTTCTATTTCTATCATGTTATTTGGAAATTAGTGCCTATAAGCTTAAATTTACTCAAAAGTTGATGATTAGGGAACATATATATCTAAAATAAGTATATAATATGTATATATAATATATATATATATATTCTCTGTGTGTGTCTGTATACATATATATAGGGAATATAGTGACAGTGGTTTAAGTTCACCATAGAAAACACTTTGAACTCCCAATGCTCAAGCTCAATCAGTTCATCTTTAAGGTATCTTTAAGGTTTTGGAAAGCAGCAGCACAATTGATTACAGAGATCTGATTTGTTCAAAGGTATCTGTAGTTGCTGCCATCTGATTATAACATACAGGCAAGTTAAAATTTCCAGGTCTCACTTGAACTGGTCTTTAGCACTCTCTTGCCTGTGTCCTGACCATAAAATATTGCACTTCGGATAAGCTACTGCAGTGGGTGACCTGTGTACATTTTCAGGGACATAAAGCCACTTCTTTAAAACAATCTTGCAACACACTCATCATCAAGATATAGCCACTTTAAAGACGTGTTAAGCCAAATGAAATATATTGTGTAATCAACTTAATGCAATATAAACAAACATCTGCATTCTTATAAATATCGGCTACAGATACAACTTGCTATTTTAAAAATAATTAATGAAAATTTAAACAGCTCTAACAGAAGGGCAGGCAAAAAATTTTAAAAACATCGTAAAACATTCTCACACTATAGAATATATATAGAATCCCAGCACCCATTCCCTTTTCTCCCCAAACCAGATAAAGAAACACTTTAAGTTGTGAGTTTACAGATAAATTGCCTAAAGCCATGCAATCACTTTAATTTTTTATTTTTATAGCTACCACAAGAGTCCTTGCTGTTCGGCATTGTTATGTCTGGTACACATATACATATGGAGCCTAACTCAAAAAAATCAATCACTTAATAGCTGTTCCTTGATACAAATACGAGACAAAATTAAGAGTCAGCAAATAAAATAAATAAAAAAATCCTAAAACATTTGCAGTTTTCTTTCTAAATTTGGTTCATCAGTCTTATGAAGGTGAATCTGTAAACCTTTCGGAATTTAAGAGCTGGAAAGAAATACACCAACTGTAAAGACTGACTGAGTATTTGAAAGGTGAGTTGCACCCAAAAATATTTAGAGGAGTTAGAGGAGAAAATGACAGAGAGATGACATCCAACGTAACTGTCTCCTAGGGTTTTTTTCTTTTTCATTAATATGAAGTTGCTCTGTAAATGTGCTTTAAACCTTGAAAATGTATTGCCTGATTACAAACATCTTTTAAAATGTGTTATTTAGACCTTTTCTATTGTTCCATCATCCATAACTTGAACAGAAATGCAATGAGTTTAATATGTACTGATTTTATGAAACCGGCTCCTAAAACTAATATCTCGTATTAAAAATTTGTGTAATAAACTGCACCATTACAGATATTTAATAATTTTCCTTCCTCCCTCTAACACTTTTTATTAGAAACTATTTAAAATTCTGCTCTTTGCAAGATAATAATAGTGATAATGATAATATCTAGAAATGTATGAGTATAGATGTATCAAAACTTCTTTAATCCACATTTTTCCTCCATTCTTAATGCTCTGCACAACCAACGCACTTCTTTGCTAAACTTCGCATTAAAACTTTTTGTTACCCCCTCTATTGGTCAGAAAATGTCTGGTCTGACACTTCCTGTTTATTTTGGGGCACGACAGCCGTTTCCAGACCTCAAAACAATCGAGTCGGGAAGAGGCACGTTTGGATTCTCTTGCTGCCCAGCATCGGGGTGAGCCAGCTCCTGCTTTAGCCCTTCCCCAACCCACCCCCATCTTTCATTCCTTTTTCTCGGCACCTTTTGTTCCCCGCTGGTTTCTGGCTCCCGTGACAGTTTTATGCTGGCGGGAACTTCCCCAGGAGGCTCAGACTTCGGAGGGGTTACAGCGGGGACCAGGGCTCCCGCTCAGGTACGTGGGTACCAGTTCTCACGCTCGCCCTTCCCCAAGCAAGGCAGAGACTTTGCACAGACAGAAAGCACACCCCTGGGGCGAGGGGTCCCCTTGGGTTGGAGCAACGACAACACAGAGCTGAAGCTGGGGTGGGGGTTTTTTTCCGCTCAGGAATTATTTTTTTTTTTTACCCTCTCAGCTTTGGCTTGAACATAGCTTCTCCTCTCCCGTGAACCTTCCTTTGGTGCTGTCCTCCTTTCTGTTTCTGTTCCTGAAGACCGGGCTGATGAGAGAGCACACCCCCAGGCTCTGCTGGCACAGGGTGATGTAAGAGGAAAAGGAAAAAAAATGGTTTGACCGCGGTTCCTACCACATAATGACACGCCTTCACAAGCCTGCCCTTAGCAGTGTTCTTTCCGCATGCCTTAGCTGGGGAACGATGGCTGATACATGTTCCCGGTTTAAAAAGGGACAATTGAACAATCTTTTTGAAGCCTGCTTCTAAGTTTGAAAGGGATGATAATTCTTCATTGGCAGAAAAATTAGATTTATTCTTCTGTGCAGGAAACTTCTCCCAGTAGCGCAGCTGTTCTGTGTGGCACGCAGGCCTTTCCTCCAAAGCACCTGAAGCTTGGTTCTGGGGAAAACACGGTGGTTCGGCTTCACCCATCATGAGATCTTTCCATGCTGTCAGAGCTTGGTCAAGGACGAAGTGCTCACAAATACCTCTGATGAGACACTTCACTCACAAGGTATCAGCAAAGCTTACTCGCCTTCCCTGCCAAAGCCAGAAGGTTGAGAGTTCCCCCTATGGAGGAACAGAGGGGGCTGTATGTTGGGGAGTTTTGCAGAAGATGTGGCATTTGAGGAGCTGGTGATCTCACACACCGGGTCTGATCTCCTGGACCTTGTGCTTAGAGACTGCGAAGCCCGTACGATACTAATGCAATCTGTAATTTATCCACACACGTCTGCGCTGTGCTGTGCTGTGCTGCACAACCCCCCTGTCCGCAGCACACACTTCGCTGGTGGATTGTATCAGTGGGGCTGCAGGCAGCTCCCCCCCCGCACCAGCGCTCACACCACCCGCCTGGCCCTGCCCTCCCGTGCAGCGGGAAGTTTGAACATCCTTTGGGAACAGAACTGTGTTTTGTTCATACAATACTCTGTTCATATAATAAAAACATATAATAGCTCAGATGACCAAAAAGGGGGTGCTTCCCTTCATGGACAGAATCTGCAGTGTGCTGCAGGGAAACCCATCTGGGGTCTGCCCAACACTGCACAAACACGGGGTGCCCAGCGTCTGAAGGGATGCTAGATTTGCTCGCTGTCTGTATTCCTCTTCTTATTCTCTCTTTTTAAACAGCTGTTTTATTAAGCCATTTGTTGCCAGGCCTTTCTTACTGAGATCCAGTAAGCACCATCTCTCTTGTACGTAAGTGATCCTGGCCAGGCCACTGCGTTGCACACACACATCTTGGTGCTCATGAGTATATGGATAAGAGTGCAAGGGGGAGAATCCATTTATTTTGAGATTTGTAAAATAAAATCCCCTTCCTTAAGGTCTTTTTGTTATACTAACTTCCCATGGAGACATTTAGGAAAGACAGTAGCTCCCAAGTCCCCTAGAGTTATTACCATTCACCGAACCACTAAGCTAGAAGAACACAGTGCAGCTCAGCAACTTTGCCAGCCCCCTTCTGAAAACACAGCCAAGGCAAAACTAGTGAGACTGGCAATCCTAGGGTGACACCGAGGAGCAGCTACAATTACCAGTCACTCGGGAGCTCGCATTCTGCTTGCAGGTGGTTGCACTGTGGAGGCAGGGAGCTTAGCTGGCTCCACACAGAGTCTGGCTGGGTTCATCAGCTGAGACACAGCGCTGCCTGCTCAGGTCTGGAAACATTACAAATACTTTCCCAGGACACCAAGCCTAACCTAACAAGGACCAGATGTGTCTAGAGAGTGCTGCAGAGACTCTGCAGACATATTCCTGAGACCAGGAGCCCAGGGGAGCAGGGGACAATGACACCCAAGTGACTCCCCACAGACCCATGAAGGGACCAGCTCTGCCTCACGGTGAGCCGTGCCACACTCTGCGTGCTGGCAGCACTCTGTGGTCCAGGAGGGCAAGTTACCTCTGGATCAACACTGTTTGGGTGCACAGAGCCAGCTTTGGCCTCCTACAGTGCCAGAGCTATTTGGCACTGCAGGAACCGGCCTGGGATTTTTTCCATTACCTGGAATATCCCCAAACTGCATGAGTTGACAGCATGAGGATTTTGGTATCCATTTCTCTTTTTATGGGGTACCTGAAAAAAATTGCTAAGCCCTGAGGAACAAGGAGATTCGGTGATTTCAGGGCTTATGCTGGAGCCAGTCCCTCTCTCCACAAGGGACAAAGCGAGCACTGTGGGCTGTATGCCACGCTAACCTGATAGTCAAGCTCTCTGTGTGGCTTGGAAGGGGATGTAAAGACATGCATGACCAACATGTTCATTTTGACATGGTTGCTTGTGCATGCACTGTAAGTATCTGTGGCAACAGTGCAACTTTCTGAAAGCTGAAAAAGATCAGATACTACCAGGAAAGGCCCGCTATGAATGTGTACATGTGAGGTATTAAATGTGCTACATCTGTCATAAAAAAGCACAAATGGATGTTTGTGGTGGAAATTCATGAAGCTCAAGGTTGTGATAAACTCACCTACCTTTGACTGAAAAACTTAGATCACTAAGGAATGGGCCTCTGGAGGTTTCAGACTGAGACACAGAACATTTTTAAGACAAGATGGTGACACTCAGCCTGTAATGGATTGAGTGGAGTTTTGATGAGAAAGTTTCCTGCAGGATAATGTGCAATATGCATTCGTTTACCTGATCCATTCCAGTGACCCTGCTCTGACCGTAACAAACATCACATGGGATGAAGTCAAGAGCTGGGATGGTGCTTTCCTAAACTGCAGCAGCTCTGTTCACTAGAATGTGCCTGTCAACAACTTCCTCCAAAGATGTAAGCAGCATGTGACAGGCTGACACTAAGCAATGCCTCTATCTCTTCTCCAGAAGCCATTTCCCATTTTACATATTATTTCTCCTCTAGCTCCACAAACCATATTGCTTGTCTCTGTGACCCCTGAAAGCCCTTAATGGATGGACACACACTCATTGCAACATCTATAATTTCTTAAGATTAGTAAATTTACCTGTGATTCTCACTCACATACTCCCCACCATGTAACCAACATTAGTGAATGACACAGGAGTATAAAACTAACACAGTTTGTGTTATGAGGAGACTTCCTAGGTCAGGTTCTCTTCCAGTCTTCTGGGATTCATCATCTCCTGTGCACTGCAACAGCAACATTGTGTGCTGATTTGGGTTGGCATCTGACCCCCACAGCTTGGGGACAGAGATGCTTTTACTGTGCTGTAACAGCTTCATATGATATTGTCAAGTCACGGGTTAACCTTCTCTTTGTGAACTGGCAACAAAAGGCTGGATGTTGAGGGCTTCCAGTTTCCAAACACCCAGGGCTTGACCTGCCTTCTTCTGCTGCTGCAGTGTCCTAGAACGGGATGAAAATGTCATGCTGCACTGCTGACATAACATGTTAGCCCTCCCACCACAGCATGGGATGTCTTTACTTAAGGTCTTGTCACGGGATGGTGGTTGTCCTCAGAAACAGCCAGTCCCTTCCTGGGAAGCTGCCCAAACCAAACCTCCGCTCTGTGCAACGGGAGCGCATCCTTGCAATGCACAGCACAAGCCATGCTCAATACCACCTGGGGCACCAGTTTCACAGATGCAGGGCACATGCTGGCACAAAATCACAGCTGGGGGAAGTCAGCAGAGTCCTGTCAGAATGTGGCTGTGGGCCCACACCCGAGCTAGAACAAAGCTGTGGCACCTATCAATGACCAACAGCACTGCCTGGGTCTGGCATTAATGGTCAGGATCCACCAGGTAATTAATAAGTATTATTAACTACAGGGGCCTGAGAATTACAGAGAAAGCAAGATAGGTAACTAGATTGGTAGACACCCAGTGAAGAGAAGAAGAAAACCGATGACTTTGATGTGTTCACAGTCATTTTGCCTTTTGAGCACTCTGGCCGTATTTGTTATTTCAGTGAAAGATTGGATACCACGATGAAAAACATGATGTGAGATCATCAGCAGGTATGTAACTCAACCATGAATGCAAAACATCTTGCTCTGACAGCTCAGTCATGGAACATATGAGTCATAATGTTTTAGTTCAATTTATCTCATTCAATATGCTGCCCTTTATTACTCAATGAAATAGAAACCATAACATAACTGCATTTTTGTGATTAATTTTCCTCTTTCAAAAGCTTGCAGGGTATCAGGGAATATTTTCCATGCACATATCAGATGTTGGACCCCCAACAGTTAACAGTTAAGCCTTTCTGTCCCCCACCTCTATCTGGGATCTTGTTAAGGAGCCTTTATCCCAGAGTTGAATATGACAGGAGAATCTGTACAAACCAGGAGCTTTATAGAAAACAATTGTCACCAAATCCAGTGTGTCACAAAACTACAGCACCCCCCCAGCACATCTCTTTGTAGCCTCTTGGATGTTGTTGACCTTTGCTGTCAGGTTCTGAAGTCTTTCTTTCCACCTCAGTCCCTCCAGCCTCAGATCTGCATCACAGCCACTCATTTGATGTTATATATTTGTTCAGGCCCCTGGGACAAAGAACAGGAGAAACAGTTCAGAACTCAAAAAATGAGGCAAATAAATACCCCAGAAAAATTACTGATCCATTCTATTAAGCTTGGGTTTTTGTTTTATAAGGCACATGCTACCCTAATGATTTTCAAAGAGTTTGAATTGGATGATAACGGGGGCAGACAGTGAAATAGCTTCTGTTTTGAAAGCTGGTGTTTGAAGAAATAAAAAGGGAATGGGAAAGGTCTGTCTGAGCAGTGCAATAGCATAAAGGATTCCACTCACTCTTTAAAGGAGATTTCTCTTTTCTGCATCATCTATGTGCCACCTGGATGCTTCTCTCCTTATTTCCAAGAGACTGTGCTGAGCGGTGACACTGTCCTCTCGTTACTCCATCTCAACTAGCTGGTCAAGGAAACTCTTCCCATGAAGTGAGAACGTGAGTCAGACAGAGGCAAAGAAAGCCAAGCTGGGGTACAACACATCTCTGTTCAGCTCCAGTTGTCCATTTGCAAGGCCCTTCCATTACCAGAGGGAGTTCTTGGAGGTATTTTTGGTAACAGAAGCCAGTCCACTCCTCAGCACTACACA